TACCAGTCCTATACAAAATGTAGGTGTTCTATATATACCCGCTGGCACATGTGTGACCATCAGTTTCAAATCGTGAAAATGTTAAGTACTGAAGGAATCAACTTTAGGTCAAAACAGCTTTATTTTTAAGGCGGGGAAAAGTAGAGTTTAATTTTTGTATCATTATGTTATTTCCAGAGACTGCTGGCCATTTTCTGCAAAGTTCAGAATTCAGAGAATGCCTCTGTACAACAACCACCTTGCCCAATCTGACAGACATTAGCATAATGCAAAGTACATGTACTAACCACAAGGCTAAAAGGTCCGGACCAGTTAGATTGGCCACTGGCAGTTGATCACTCTTGAACCCCACTGTTACTAAAGGTCATCTCAGGTCACAACATATAGTACCCCTACCCCCTTTTTAACACTCTTCCTACTGCCTTAACCCCATAACCAATTCAAATCTAGTGCCAAATGCCTAGAATAACATGCTGAAGGTTATATGTAACTCTCCACATTTTACTGCATGTTGAGGAAACGAAATTGAAACACTGACCCTTAAAAACATGTTTCACAAACTCCTCTATCCTATACTTGCCATTGGCATCCAACTATGTTATCATGACATTGTACTTATGAATGTTTTTTATGCACATGCTTGGCTTGGCAAATGCTACATTTAAAAGAAGTCAAAAGTTGTAAAACGTGTGGGACTCCCTACATCTTGAGGTTGAGAAATTAAAACCTTGCACCCAGGAAATAAACAAAACAATGTATGGATGCACACAAAACAATGTATGGATGGATGTGGAATTGGTCTCTTACTGAAGACATTTTGTTGTGGCCTTGGAAAAATAATGTTGTGTTTCCGGTTTCCCCGACAGATCCTTGCAAAAATCTTCAGACCCTAGCCCTTCTTTCGATCAACCGCTACTATAGCTATGAAATTTTGTATCTGCCATCTGAATTTCAAACCCTCTGAATCGTCATGTAACACATTTTCAGAAGCAATTTTTTCTTTGTATATAAATTGGGTGAAATATTGGTCCACAAGCAAACAGGTGGACAAGTCTTTGAGACAGTTCAGTCTTTGATAAACCAGACTAAGCCGAACCAAACCAGATGCATTGTTAAACATTTTATCTTATCTTTTTGAAAAAGTTAAAAGAAAAAAAATCCCTTAACTGACTCTAGTTTTATCAGGATTGAAACTGAAAAGACAACATAGATTTTCCTAGACCCATCTTGATCAGTCTAATGATGTTAAGCGCTGGAAAAGGTGATAAAGTTGGGATGACATCCAATAATTGTAGCTTCGTAAAGTACAAACTTGTAGTAGAAAAATTTGTCCATAACTGAGGTTGTGAAATCGATTAAAAATAGAAATGTCTATAATAATTGTTTATCTTGCACTTAAGAAATATGGATGGATGGTTTTGGTCTCTTTAAATACTGAAGACATTTTGCTGTCTAATGACGTTAAGCGTAGGGACAAAGTGAAAATTTGAAGGGATGAGATCCAATATGTGACTTAGCGAATGTTAGGGAAACTTGAATGTAATTTGTGCTGTATGTTGAACTTGGCTCCAATCAAGTTCCTATTGTATTTCAGATATTGTCTGTGATACAGAGTGCCTTGAAGGCTTCAATTTTCAAGGTCATTTGATGTCAACGACTGTACATGTGATGCTAAGGTACATGATTGTGCTAATAAAGTATAGAATACAGAAATCATGTTGATGTCCTTGTTTTTTTCACTAGCTCTCTGTATGCAATTATATTAAATACCATGCAAATACCCGTAAGCAGGTGCAAAGAAAATATACAACACCTGGGTTGGGTGAAAGAAAAATTCCAGTGCAAAAAAGAACCCCCCCCCCCCAAAAAAGCCTAAAAACACGTTTAAAATACCCCCAAACCCAAACTTCTGCTTGGAGAGTAGTGCAATCATGATCATAGCAAATTGATCAGTGTGGATTGTACTGAGGCCTGTGATTCTATAAAATTGAGAACATCTCCGTTCCCCAATGTTCCTCCTATTCCATCCTGTGGTAGGCAGTTGCAAGTTGAGTGCCATTAAGTCCCCATATATACATGTAATGTATGACACCTCTGAATGACAGTCGTTTGAAAAATGGCCGCGTGGGGGCGCTTTTGGTCTGTCACTTCACACAATCGGGCTACTTCAGCGGTCACAGTGGTTTGGCATTTTACAACAAATTCAATTGGGGCATCCGCGAAGGACGATCTCATCATGGCGGTACCCTTTTTCTTTCGTTGGCGTATTACGCTTAAGAGCGAACTGGTATGACGAAGCTTTATTGCACGAAAGAGCAGATACAATGCCAATCGTAGAATCGTAACTGATAGTCTATCTCGAATCTTTTCGTCAATTGTCCGGTATTTTCGACGTAACCGGCAATTTGATATAACTGAACTTGTTGTGATAAGATATTCAGAAAAAGTGTCTCCATGCAGTCCAAAGAAACGTCCGCCGAATATGGCTGCGCACCTGTTTTCTTACCTGTGCTGAAATGACACGGACCGAACGACCTCACGTATCAATACTATACAGTAAGCCAGCAACTTTATTCTCAATAAGGGTGCAGAGAAAGTCTTACACGTTCGTATATATTTGAACAGAAGTTTTCAGTGGTAAAAAACGCCGCCCTATTCGTCATGTTTTTCCTGCACCTGTTTCCCTACCTGTCTTCCGGGACCGTATAAGCGTTCCACTGAAGAAGCCTTTCGTGGTTTGCGCTACTCCCACTCAGTAATTGTATCACCAGTTGTGGATCGGTGCTAGCTGATATAACGTTACCTCGGTTATCGACCACACCTATCTCCTAACCTGTATTACCTGTAGGCTCCATGTTGTCTGAAAACTAGCGTTGTGTTTGTCAGATGTCCCGGTTATATAAAGTAATCTAAATCCTCGAGTCAACATGAAACAGGTCGTGACTACAATATCATCGCCAGGAACGATCAGTACACAAACATTTCATGTTCGTGTCGAGAAGAGCGCCAATAGGAGAAGATTAATCGGGGTTTAAGTGTTTTAGGACGTCACCAGGCGACCAATAACAGCGAGAGTTACATTCAACATTAGGGGAGTTGGGCATGACTAGAGGGGGCAAGGCCGAATGAATGGAGGTCTTCTCCTATTTCGGCTTGCCGCGCTAATGTTACAAATCAGTCAAAGGTTATTACCAGGTTGTACATTCATTGAAAACTCCGGTATGTCAGTTTTCGACGTATGTTCTTGTGTCAGCCTTACTTCGATCACATAATACCACACAACCCATATGGTATAAACTGAGTCTTACTCGTTATGTAACTCTTACTTGTTAACTCAGACCCAGACGTTTTATACGTGCGTGCGGTTGGGACTGGGCAAAGCCATACAACGTTCGACTCTTTGGTCATGCAAGTCTGTCAAAAACTGTGATGATAACGTCGTTTCCTTTACATTATTAGTGACTATTTCTCAGTGTTTAGTCTGATAGGACACCCACTCACACTGACACATCCAAAATCCCCCGAGAAACTTGAAACCACGTGTTTTCCTAGGTATGTTACCCCCACGGTAAACAAACCATAACAGTCCACCTGTCCTGCAGTTCCATTGTCGCCGCTAGGCGAGGTATGAAAACACGGTCATGTCAATAGGTGTTTTTCACCCTATCAAAGCGAAGGCACCCACGGTAGATCTGATTTCGTGAAGTTTATTTTTTCTTCTTTTCAAATAGTGTGTCCACGCATGGCAACGGTAGTCTGTGGGCGTCCACGTCCACGTAACGTCCGTAGATAGTACACTGACGACATGAAAAAATACGCATATCCATTATCAGACCCAACGCATATCTAACGATGAAACTATATTATGTGCATACATATTACTATGTGAATCTATCATTGGCACGTTCAATTTCTCACTGTACGCTTTTGTAGTATATCGCGAAGATAATTTGATATGTTAGGAAACACTACGATAATATAGCGTTGCCATTACATTATGATATAATATAGCATTAAAAGTAAATGTAGTCTTGTTAGTTTACTCATATTCTAAAACTTTATTTTTTTCCTTACACATTTTAACTGTAGAAAACAATGCCAATATATCAATATTCAGTAGCGTCCTGTGGCTTGCTCAGTAATGACAGTATGTTTATCAACGTATGTTCTAGAACCACGAAGTTTCGTGAGAGTTGACAACTGGCTTGCAAGTTCGATCGTAAGTTAACGAAGTACAAAGCCTAGAGGTCTTTCACTTCATTCCCTAGAGTTTTACCAAGAGTCTCTATGTAAGATTGAAAAGAAATGTAAGACGCTTTCAAGGTGATAATTATTACCACTTTAGTCTAATCAAATTTGATTAAAATCTATTTGTTTGGTGTTGCGGTGAGTGATGCAATCGTAAAAACCGCAAAGTCAATCCCACGCGAATCTCAGCTTCGTCGTAACTCGGAAGTAAACAAACCAAAACACCTTGGCTCACCAGGGACCGCTACTTGACACCTGCAGTTCTCCCCCACGCCGGTAGATGTTTGGGCACGAATTTAAACCCCCAAGTGGCGGGAATACCCATTCAGACGACGCTAGGACCGGTGCATGGCGGGTGAGGTAACGGGGTGAACACAAACAAGCAAAAACAAACCTTACTTTTTTCACCACAAGCTGCAAGAAAAGTTGCGGCTACTGAACTAAGTATGATAACACCCTTAGTATACCTAAAGCTTAAATAAAATAAAAACAGAAAAGTTGTGTCGCTTAATAATTTTACATGAAGAAATGTAAGTGACATACTGCCCCTCCATATTTGCCACCCCCGCCACTTTGGCGAATGCGCTGGCCCGACCGCCGACCAATCGCGCGCAAGCGAGAACAAAGGATATTATCATAGGTCACTAGCAACAGGTGGTTGTTTGTGGACCAATGGGCGCGCGGTTACCGCTGTTGATATTTATTTATGCAGTTGCTAGCCCCGCGGCCATTGGAATATATTAGACTAGTAGGGACTAGGGGTTCATTCTGTGAGAATAAAGCCACGCGCTGCGGAACTCGTGGTGTTTTGATCCGAGTTTCTCTGGTCGGACAACTTTTCCGGCGCCCGGAAAAATTGGGTGACAGGTGGCGGTGAGCGTACCAAGGGCGAACAAACGTAAGAACCGCTTTTCTTCAGGGTTTTAGAACTGTTACCCGTTCGAAGAACAGCATTTTACAAACTCTGTATTCTGTATATGAGATGGGACAAGCACTAGTGGTCTACAGAATATCTGTCATTCATTTGTAGAGACAGCGATTTGTGGGACCAGTACCGCGCTTAGGACGGACTTTGAGAACCACTTCGGTAAGAGAAGTCACTTGTTCCGGGACGGATTTAGCAGACTATTGCACGCAATAATTCAATTACCTGCTGTGGCAGCGTATCACGCAAGCTAGCGGGGCGCATTCCGACAGTAACCGGACCGGTGCCGACACTCCAGACCAAGGGTTGTCGTCTGCTACAGACAACTATTCACCATGATCGGGCAAAGTCAGGGAAGTCCAGTAGCGTCTAGCAAAACGGCCGTGAGTACCACGGCTAACTCTCGGACTAAAGTTATAGCGGATAAGTTCAAGCAAAACTGGATGGCGCAAAATCCGCAAGCGGACTCCCAGAACCCGGACACTCAGAACCTGGACGACAGCTTAACAAGCCTGTCGTGGCTTCAGAACCTGAACATCATGAAGATCCCCACGCCGCCCAGCAGTCCCAAGCCGGCGGACGACGGCTCCAAGCGGCAGACGCAGGCCCAGCCCGCCGCCGTCTCCGGTAACGCGTCCCTGCACGTCCACGTCAAGGAGGAGCACAAGGCGACGCTGTATGCACCTGCCGGCCCTCCCATCGGCACGCCGGAGAGCATCGACAAGATCGACTACAAGACCAACCCCTACGTCAAACCGCCCTACTCGTACGCCACCCTGATCTGCATGGCCATGAAGGAGACCAAGAAGAGCAAGATCACGCTGTCTGACATCTACAAATGGATCAAGACCAACTTCAAGTACTACGAGATGGCCGAACCCAGCTGGCAGGTGAGTACTTACACACTATTGTGTAGTGGGTGGTCTGAATGGTGTGTACAAAATACAACCCTTCCTAAAACACTCTCCGCTCGACTCAAATTACCAGCGAAATATGAATATTACCGGGATGTTGGGAAAACACACGAATACGCGAAGTCTTACGTAAGACTCGGTAATGTTTGCTTCTTTCTTTGATTCACCTGCTGTGTCAATAGTAGCGTGGCCCACCGTCCATTAATAGCCGGGCGGGATACGTGAGGTCCGGCGACAGGTGCTCTTGTCGGCCCCGCCTCCCGCTGATAAACTCTCAACCCCTTCCGAACCAACTCCGCGAGGTTTGGGTGGGTTTAAGGAGCAAGTCGTGGCAACTTGGCGACTACAGAGCTTCGCTCACGGTTTGACAGGAAAGCTTAGTGTAGAACAGCTGTAAAGCTGACGTTTGTCGTGACAGAGGTCAACCTCGCACGGCTCTAGGGTCAGGACGTAGGAAAAGGGGGCGGGTCGTCATGCACATTTCTGAACGCTAGAGAAGCAAAGACTCAAACATGTACCAGTGTAATCATCGCACTGGTGGTGGATTCTAGATAAGAAGTGGTGTTAAACATTGATTGGCACTTTGGGCAGCAAAACGTGCGAGATAAGAGTACACCGAGCTTTCTGGAGCCAAGCTTGTAGACTCAGTCAGTGGAAACAAAGGTTTGGAATTCTACACCCGGTGTGAAGCGAAGATAAATGTGGATCGGTTCGACCCGTTTTCTTCTATTTTACGCGTTTTTCAACCCGCCCTGCGCCATGCACGGCCACTCCCTACATCGAGTCATACGAAACGTGTACAAAAGGTATCATAAAATATTCAATAAAAGGCAGGAAGCGTCCTTAATAATCTGTAAGGCCCGGGGTTGACAGGTGACCTCCCTTCCCCGGGCCACCCCTCCATTCAACCTTTGTGTCAACACGCGCTGCAAACGCTGTAACTTTAGCTCCTCCCTTTTGTTCCGCAACAGCCCTCCAAAACCATCCAAAGCACGAATGCTTTTCATCACACGATGACACATCTCCTTCTACCTGCTGCTTTCTTGTCCTCTTGGCGGAATTACAAGCAACCAGAAGCTAAAAAGCGTGCAAAAAATGCGTTGATAGAGCGTGCAAAAATGCGCTGAAAGAGCGCCGTAAAATTAGCCCCATACAAAGGCGTCGGGCAATATTGGTCCTGTTCTATTTTCATGGTAAGGTAAATACGCGGCCGCATTCACCTGTGTGGGTGTAACGTTTCCAACGCTAATTTAAACCTCGCGTATCGGTTTTAAGAGTGTCCGGATTTAGGACATCTGAGGACTCGTGTAAGATTGCACGTAGAGACAGGAGATGGTCTTAATGTGTCAATCATGATGTAGCAAGTTTGGCAGGACGGACGCTCCTGTTTTTACGCTCCCGTGCGCAACCTTTCGCCCCAGTATTATGACTTGTGCCCATTTAAACAGGGTCACGCCGATTACGTTGTGAAAGGGTCGTGGGTGAACATGATCCCACAGAAAACAAATTATGACCGTCCCTTTGTCGCGTTTTCGACGTCGGCAACCCCGGTTGCATTTTAGAATTCGGGGGTAAAATTCCGCGGTCGGTCACACACGAACGGAGGTAGAAAGCGAGGCCGCAAATCACGTACCACCATACGGGGGGCAAACTCACCTGTCAAGGGTGGTGTCCTTATCACAGGACGGAAGCTAAAGATCTCGGAAATCGTGATTTTGCTTTTGACTCCAGGCGCCAGTGTAAATCAAAATTGATAACGGCAGATCTAAAGTTCGTTTGTACTTGTACACTAGAGCAAACGCCACACCTCAACGTTTATTACGAATGCGTAGTATAACGTCAGCGATGTTGAATTATGGAAATGGTGCGACCTTTCCCGACCCGATGTATTGCTCACATGGGTATACATTGTCACGAGTGGGTTGGAACAACCCTCCCATGGGCCCCACGTCACACACACACACCTGGCATGGCTGCTGGGAACTTTCCACGGCCTGAGCTTGTGCTACCAGGTGGCACCACAGGTCACAAGAACTGTGGCGGAAATAGTCAGCAAACAAACCATTTACTGTCAAGTCTGTACTACTAGACAACTTGTTGGGATGTCGTTGTCAAAACTTACGTATTAAGTGCGTTTGTAGAAACATTGGCCCGAAAACCTTGAAAATGTTCGCGATTCCAAAAAGCCCCTGTTGTCATAAGTTGTGTTTATACTCTCGCATGTTGACATATGCTTGGTAGTTCGACTGTTGTGAGTCAAGTATTCAAACCACGCAGAAGGAAACGCCGACTACTGCTCCAACTGTGCTGTGACGTCCGAGAAAGGAAGCCAACAATGCCACAGGCAATCTTGTGATGTTTGGAAGACAATCTAGCAGAGTTCCTTGCCACTTATCACTCATCAGTATTATTTGTGACACCTGTTTCAGCGCCTACGCATCCTCAGTTCACGTAGGGCTGCTACAGACACGCCCTCAAATTAGGCATAGATAGTTTCAGTACAAATTACGTTACTATTAGGGAAAAATGTATAGAATATTGCATGGGGAAATAGCACATGTAGAAACTCGTGTAAAGCCAACCTCGTCAATATATCGATATTACATGCGATATACTGTTGAAAAACACAGAAATGCAACTCTACACGTGTTCTTTCTTTGGAAATTGTAAAATGAAGTGTGTGAATGAGCAGGCAACAAAATCACACGGATATTCAAAGACCGTCAACAATTTCCAAAACATCTGGTCGAATGATTTGTATACTTTCTAAATTGAGGAAATTGATTGCTTGTCTGTTTGCGGCAATTGAAGATGTCGTTCACAAATTGTCTTGAGTGTGTCTGAGTACATCGTATATAGGACGGCCCAGCAGTCACCCTTTTCCTGATAGACAACGATGATAGGTATTTGCATACTTATAAAGCAAACAAAAGGGTTTATCACAGTAAATGACCTGCACGAGACAACTTGATCAGACTGTGCCAAATAGCGTAATTCTTGAAATCATCCCAGTATGACACAGCAAATCTCAGACAATTCATCCGACATTGTGTCAACAAAGAGTAATCGTACATCGGCCGTCTGTGTGGTAGCCATGTTTGTGGAATGTCCGGCGTTCGGTGGTAGCGTGGCCTGTACGTACTCACCCACACAGTGGCAACGTCCTGACGAACTACTAGTAAGCCTCCAGCGAAGTAGCCGTATCATTATACTTGATTAATTGCAAGATTAACACTAATTACACCTTGTCATGCGAGCAACATTCCTTCAAACATTTACCTCCATGCTTCAAATGTATAACTGGAAAGCTACTGCAAATTTTATTTCGCCTGGTTAAAAAAGACCATGACGATAATGATTTCGTAACGCCATACAAACGTCATAAATTTACAAGACCAACTTTTCTTAGCTAAGTTTTTTTTATGTGTGAAGAAGGTCTCTTATACCTAATTAATAAGTAATTTGATGACGCAGGTAGCTCGTTTACACCGCTCCCATGGGGCCGCGCGCTCCCACCGTACATCCTGCCATTCTGGTCAGACTAGTTCAACGCTTCCTCCCCTGGGAAAACTTCCGTCTGCAGACGTCAGAAACCGCAGTCATGCAAAACGACGCACGGCATTACCCCTGTCATCACCGCGACGCCCGGCCGGTTTTGAAACAATTATGGTAATGCAGGAGACTTCCAGACAATTGTATATATTATACAGCATCAACAGGCGTGTCCATCAGCTATCTATGCATCCGATGCCTTTGTGCATCTTTTGCAAGTGTCTCGTTGAATTTTAACCGTCTTTGGCTGTAGATCCTTGGTCAAATTTTCCTCCCAAACTGCAGAACGTCCGACCGTTTTACCTCACTTCTTGGTCCTTAAAATGTCTACTGAGTCGTCATAAGAGTACCAGTAGAAGTGAACACAAAGGGGTGAGGTCACAAACCAAATACACTGACAAAGCACGCACGAAAACTTCAGAACTGTTTGAAAAGTGTAATATGTTTAACAGGCCGGTCTAAACCACGTCATCGACAGGACGACACGCCGCCTAATGAACTAAATTAGAGAAAATATTTGCAAAGATTACCCCTTTGTTGTGAGGGACAACACGAAGTGGGCTGCATCAAAAGGACCGTGAAGACCCGCGTTATGCATCAAGTCGGAACAATACGGGATCGGTACAGGACCTCAATACCCAGTTTTCTTAGCGGACAGTTGCTAAATGTGTAGTGGACACAAAAGTGAAAGGCAGACGCCGGGTTTTTACAGGTTGAGTCATTAAGGTTCTTAAGGCACGGGTCACACATAGTGACTATGAAGTGGCGGCCGGATGCACCCCTCACAGTGGAAACCTACCGACGTCAGATCTGTTTCTTTTTTTAACTCCACGTATTTTTCTTTCGCGTTACAGTAACTTACACCCAAGGCCAAAAAAATGTTACACATTTCTTCTGTTTGAACAGCCTTTTCCCGTGTTTGCTGTCCCGAAGTAAGAAAGCTCTCCACGACGAAAATCCACTCTTACCCAGTTTTTCCTCCGCATATCCCAAATTCTGGGTTATAAGGATAAGTGAAAGACCCGATATCGTGTTACCCCCACCCAAACAATTCCTAATCCTCGTCGCTAATACTTTTAGTAGAAGAACGTTGACTTTTCCCTATGACAAATTTATACTGAGCATGCCATAAATCTTGACGCAAACACCGATGAAAGGCTTGAAGTTGTAATCTCATTAAGTAAAGCGTAAAAGTCCTTCCCACAATGCTATAATACTGGGAGCTTCTCCTCCTCCCAGGTACAATGTACGCTGTGCAGAAGGCACGCCATGTTTGATGACGGAGGCTCGGGTGTCCCACGAACAAAAGAATCATCAGAAATCTTACCCAGAGGGTTGAAAGTTAGCAGGTCGTCTAGAATATCAGGACCGACGCTTGGCGTGGTGCAAGCCATCAACATGGCCGCATTATGTCACACAGTCAGGGGTTAAGTCACAGTGTTTGGGGTATTCTATTTGGGCTCAACAGATATGATACAACGGAGTATCCTTTTAATGGACTTTGCCTTCTGTGTAGGTATTGTCTCCTATAGCTGTATGATATTCAATTACTTTAAGTCGCATGCAAAGTTACCTTTCCATAGGCATCTGAGTTGGCTTCAATTGTAATAGTAAAAAAGTCGGATGGCCTAAAGTTTCTGTAACAGGAGGAAATGGACACCCAATTATATCACACTTCATATACACAGAGAGATAAACAAACAAAAAGCTCGCACACCTGTACATTAAAAGCAAACATGAAGTTTGTTCTCATTATATGATGCAGCTTTTCTATGAAAGGAAGGCTTCATAAAGTTGCTAAGGTGATGACTGTTGTAGAACCACCTGTTTGGTTAGTCCTCCAAATGCCCAGATAAATGCACAGAACAAAGTTAGCAAAATGCTGGTCTGTGACCACAAGTCTGGAAGGAGGAAGTCATCATTAGCATAATGACTAATGCCCAACATAAGAATATTCATCAGTTATTGCCCAACCAAAGTGTACATTTCTCCCAAAACTGTTGTCACAGCACACCGTTGTAAACATGTTCACAAAAACCAGAATACACAAAAATTGGATCTTTTGTTGTTAGAGGCAAAATTAATCCCAAGTGACTGCAAGAAATGCATGGCGGTAATCCTCCTCTACCTAAACAATGGAGAAAAAAATTACACCAGGGACAGGGAGTAATACAAGAGACCTCTTCAGTTGTTCTGGTTGATCAGGACCAGTAGAGTCGAACAGGAAAGTTTATTTGATTGTGTAATTGGGTTACCCCCAGGGCAGTTCACATGGGGCCAAGCCTACAGGAAATACTGTGCCATGGTGGGAGGGTGACGGCGAAACACAATATCTTCAGAAATACCTGTGAAATCTTTTAATCGAAATACCTTTCACACATTTTGCAAGTGAACTACAAACGGTCTTATTCCCATAACATGGTTAAATGTTCTTGAATATCTTACTAACGGTATACAGTTTTCCTGCCTAAGTATAATAAACGTTACGAAGAAATGAAAATTTTGTTTCATTTCCGACAACACTAACCAAAGACAAAGCATGATCAATCACAAGAACAATATTATTAAACAATATTATTAACGACTGTGGATAATGCTGATGACCTTATACACTAAATTATTCATCTAGAAATGAAAGTTATGTAGCACAAGGTGCCAATCATTCACGATTCTCATAATCCCCACCATACTGTACGATTGGACATTTCAATTATTAATCCATCAACAAAGAATAGTTTTCCATAACCAGAACAATGACTGATTGAAGTATTCTGTGTTGCGACTGTGATGGAATGCATGGCCTGAATGGGAGCTGTCAGTAGTTTTGATATGTTGCATGTCTGCGGTGGAAGAATCGATGTAAACATAAAACTGTCATTGCTGATTTGCCTCTTGCACGACAGTTCTCCGCATATTAACACGAAATGTGTCATTACATAACCCGTCTGCAATAAACTGCTTGGAAGAAGTTAGAATATTGTGCATCAGAAGATAATGAATTTAATTAACCGTTGTTGTATGCAAAATTGAGTTCTATGTAAAGTAATTTCGGACGTGAAACATCGTTTTAACCAGAACTCTCCTATGTTGTTACAGAACTCTATCCGTCACAACCTATCTCTCAACAAGTGCTTCACCAAGGTGCCTCGCAGTAAGAATGAGCCTGGCAAGGGCGGCTTCTGGAAGATCGACCCCCAGCATGCCGACATGATCGTCAACGGTACCCTGAAGAAGCGCAGGCCCTCCAGCACGCTGGAGTCCTACCCGCCAGCCAAGAAGATAAAGAAAGAAGAACCCGAGGCAAAGTCATGCAACAACAGAAGAAAGCAGGCCGTGCCCAAGCGCACTGCCCAGAAACACAACGGCAACCAGAACTCTTTCATCGTCCCACCAGACGACCCCAACCTCGGGTCTCTGAAGGGCGACTTGAACTGGAACGCTATTCTGAACGACGAGATCACAGTAGATGGCATCAAAGTTAAAACCGAGGACATTCTGGGCTCTGGTTGTGCCCTGACTAGATCACACAGCCCTCTCCTAACAGAAACGTCATCATCGGTTGACAGCGACATCTTTAACGACGACCCCCTGGATCTCACGATTCGCGGCATCTCCATCCCTCCTCCGCCCGAGTGGCTGCCGATCGACCAAGTCTTGTCCGAACCATCCCACCTGAACGAATCCACCAGTAACATTTTGAACACTAACCTACCGCCCTCCCCACCCTCCTCAGAGGGATACCGCCACCCCTGGGAAGAGGCCAGCGAGTTGGACTCTATTGTAGACATGAACCACTTGTTCGAATCTCTAGATGATCTGGGCCCAGACGATCTCTCCTGGATCAAAACTGAGCCTGGGTTGTAATGCTGGGTGGGGCCTGTGATGTGTTGTGTTCGGTCTAGCTCTTTTGTATACACCTCGGGACAGTGGAATTTCGTATCTATAGTTTATTAATGTCATGCAGATGCTTCTCCATGGCATCAAAATATATTGTGGTGATTTAATCTCAATCAGTCCGTCCACTGAAAAAAAGGTAACAGAATAAGCCAAAAGTTTAGGGTGAAGGGTGTTGTTCATACAAGCTGTGCACTTACTTTCCAATATAATTTTAGTTATATACATTATACATCTGGGATGGCGACTTCTCAAAATCCCATCATAAATTAGTTTGTGCAGATTCTGCTCTTAGTAAAAAATCTGTTCCGTCCACGGTCATTAGACCGGCTTGCTACATTGAGAATCCGTCCATCAGATTTTCTGTTATTGTTGATTTAGTCCGGTAGTATCATGTTCCGTCCATTAGAGAATACTATCGTATATACAACAAATCAAAGTCATTTATTATTTAAAATCAATTAGGTTGAAAGGGAATATGTACCATAAAGGAACATCTACTTTGGCATTCATTCATAACAAGAATTACATCATCTTTGAAATTGGATGTGAAAAACAAGAAATATCATTTCAAAACTGCATACAGTAAAACTGACTCTTTTATCATACAATACTGCTGCAAGGTCTCTTTTTGGAAATTGTGGCTCAACTACATTGATGCAAGAATGTTTGCATCATCTCTAAAACGAAAATCATACCAAAGGTCATACATTGAATTTCCTGTCAAGTTTGGGTTTCAGCAATGTTTGCAGATTTATGACCAATTTTTTGCCTTCATTTATCAGTTGACAGTCTTCCCTTCTTGGAATTCGTCCCCAACAAAGGCTGGCAAATCAATTATTCAGAAAACAAAGCACATGGTCTTTCCAAGGTCTCACGGAGTGACCTCTTTTTTCCTGAAATCGACTTCGTAAACATTATGCTCTGTTTGCACAAAGGAAAAAGGTCAAGTTATGATGAATGTCCAAACCTATCTCGCTTTCAACCATAGATTTTAACCAGAATTATCTATCAGTTATATTATAAGTATATGTACATGAAATGTTTTATTATTTTATTTAGGCCCGCAATCAGTTCTCGATCCAAGATACAGTATATGTTATAATATTGCACAGCTTGTGTGTCTTATAAAGTTTAATAACATACATTATATGTATATGAAGAACACTCCAAATGGGAGAAATATCCAACATATTTTATGAGTATATATTTTTCTATATTATCTGCTGATACTCAAGGTACAGGTTAGTCGGTACTCCAAGGTGTTAAATGATATGTAACTATTGGCTCTAGTCCTTTAGAGGGAGAGGGCCGGCATGTAAAAGTGCTTTCACGTCGACATGTAACATCAAATATTTGCGGGGGCTATTGTGAATCATGTCCGCACTTTGCGTGCAGGCAGTTTTCCGATAAATTAAACTGTCAATAGCACCAGCGGTGCCCCATGGCAGTTTGCCCGTCCTTGTTTACTCAGCACAGGTTTGTTTGGACGTGTTTTTGCGCCAGCATGGCTGTTTCCAGAGCGCTGAAGGATGGGGGAAAGTATGCTGGCAAGGCGTATATACCCGACTGTTTGCCATGTCATGCTAGGAAGGCGTATACCTTACTGTTTACCACGCCACATACTTGGACATTAACCCCCGTCCTTTTGCCGGGCCTTATGCAAACCTGTAAATCCAGCAAGGTGGCTGGCTGAGAACTGGGAACGACGTTAGGTTTGGCAGATGTGCATTGTTAGCACGGACAGTCCTGCTGAACAAACGATGCAAACTCCCAGCCATTTATGTACACTGGTATCCTGGACACACCCAGTCATCCGTAGTGCCTTAATATTATAGAAACACAGGGTGATATCATGGGGGTGTGTGAGGATTCTTACCAATGTAAGCACTCTGTTATGTCACCATGGCTACTATCACCATGGAAATGTCTTGCATTTTCTGTGCAGTGTCTATTTACAATCAGAGATTTATACTAACTTATTATCTGCCTGGCTCCAGGCCTAATACCACAGTGTGTGATGTTCTCTGTTGTGTAGGGGTAGAGAGAGAGCAAATTTTTTGTTAGCTTCTTGGGTTCCGCCAAGTTTGTGTGTAGTGGAGTTTTTTGTTTTTTTTCTGGTTAAGAGTTTTAACATATGAGAATTATGCTGGCATTTTGTGCTTTTATTGAATTCTGTATATTGTGCAAAAAAAGGAAGGTTGTGAAGTGTGTGAATTCTTTGCAGGACTTTTGGGAATAAAGTTTTGCAGTATGAACAATATGATTTGTTTCTGTTATCCTTTGCCCCTTACTGTGTACATTGTATATAATATAGAATGCTATATAATTTATACAGTGTAATACGTATCACCCAAGGTACCAACCTAATCACGACCTGGGGGAAGAAAACAGAATCGATAGCAATAAATGTACCCATCCAAGAGAACACGCATTTTGATGCGAAGTGCAACAAAGGTTGAGAAAATTTGTTATCCCTGTACCAAAAATTGTAACATCAATTCCAACGTCCGAATCCAAATTATTCTATCCAAATTATTCTATGAAAGTGTTATAAGCCCATGTTTACAACCATCAAAACCCCTCCAAAATATATGATAAAGGGGGACATACAGTCAAAACAGTCCAAGAAGTCCACTCATCAGAGGACCAAGAAAATCTGGTCACTATAGACAGTAGCCTTATTAAATCGCTTTACGGTTGCCAGCCGCCCAACATCCAGCCACCCCCCTTGGGGCCGCTAAGGCCGCAGACGACAGAGTTTGCGTTACACAGGATCTTAACGCTTGTGTTAATGGGAAAAAAAATACCTAACCAAGAACGTCCTAGATCTAACGGACCACCAAAAAGTGGTCACACTGACCAGGTGGTCTTTATGTTACATTATATATGATAACAGGTGGTTACTTGCAGAGGTTTGACTGTATTGAATATCTCTTCTGTGGATGTAGAGACCAGGATGTTTGTGTGCATTGCTGGGCGGTAGTCTGACTATCACTCAGCCCTTTGCACCTAAGGAAAGACATGTATCCAAGGGCAACGGGTGGGCTTGATCCTAAGTGGTCAATTTGATCACCCGGGATCAATCTAGGACTGCGTCTCCTGTTGATTTAATTTGACCTTTTGCATCCTTTGCTTGATTAATAGGACGGCAATAATGCTCAAGTCAACAACACCTAAGAAATAATGACACACGTAAATGGATGCTCTGTTTGATCCAGAAGCATTTTGAGTTTGGTAGACAGTTTTCTTTTAAAAATTGAAGAGGGGTAAAAAAAATAGTGCCACAAAGTCAAGTCTCAGCTTGAAAGTTCATCTGTGTTCTGTTGGTAAAAGTCATTCTGAAACAGGTTTGAACTGCAATTTCCAGCTTTTTCGTTTTGCAAAGTACAGCTCAAAACATGTTTCAGAAAGACAAGTATCATTTAAAATTGAGATCACTTGTGACTTAAAAGAAGAGAATATAAAAGTTTATTATCATAGTATAAATATATTTATAGCTGCCTGTAGGGTAGTTTTGCCCTCTCTGCCTATTTGCAGAGATGATGAAAGAGATTCGGCAGCTACAATAGGTTTGTTTGTTTGTTTCGCATAACCGGTAAACCGCCTTTAGGCGTAACACACCAGTCTTGTCCATATACGTACATGTACAAGCTGCGTACGACCGGACTGTAAGGTTTGAACCACTCGCACCGGGAAGGTCCCCTACTCTTTTCGATAAGTGCGGTGGGTTCTTTAATGTGCGTGGGGTGTGACTCTCCCCAAACACAGGACCTCCATTTAATGTCCTATCTGAGGGACGTCCCTAACCGAAGCTAGGTATTCATTTCCACTTCAGTGAAGTGAGGAAAATAGTGTAAGGCCACACCAATTTAATTTGTTGGTTCTCGGATTCGCCTCTTCGTTTTTTTCTGATTTGCAAAAAAAAAAAAAATTTGATTCTGGTCCTGAATCAACTGAAAAATGCTCATATTTTGCCCCCAACAGTTGAGGAAAGTCCTTTTCTTCCTAGTTGTTACAGTTTTCCCATCTATCATTGCAGTGGCTTGGTTAAAAGTTCAAAATTCAATGTTTAAATTTTAACCCAGCCTTTTGTGTTGACTTCATGGCTCATTTTGTAGCATTTAAGCCTATAATAGGATGCCTAGACCTGTTTTTATTTTTATTTTTTTTCGCCCTGTCGCTTCATATTTTTTCTGAAAAAATCCGAGAACCAACAAATTAAATTGGTGTGGCCTAAAGTGCCTTTCCCAAGGGCACAAGATCGGTGACATGGGCAGGATTCGAACCCGCAACCTCTTGGGTGTGAGCCGAACGCGCTACTGACTGCGCCACACGACCCCACTAACCAGGCTATAGACCTTTGATAGAGAGGTGTCCTCTGACACAGCGACCTTGGGTTGTTATGAAAGATGAACTCACGTAACCTAACAGACTACTCATGATCGGTCATCATTTTGTGATAAATCTGACAATATGAGCGTTATCGTCTCACATCTCAGACAACAACAAAAGAAATGGCGACAGTTTACAGCTAATAATGGAGACTGCCTTAAGCCCTCCCCTAAGTAAAAAAGATAACAAGAAAGAAAAACAACTGAACAGAATATGATTTAAAGACGTAGAGAGTCATAAAACATATCTACAATGTACCTCAAGGTTATGTCTGCCGTGATTGTGAAAGAAAACGGCAAAATGTGTTTCTTAATTTATAGTCTTGTAACTTATAACTGCATCAGGTCAAGATGACCACAAAGTATGCAAAGAGGACAATTCGTCATTATTAAAAAATTGTCAGTCAGAGACATCAGTCACTCCCATGTACTCAGGTCCGCTTCATTTGGCATGGAATTTTTACACCGTGAAACAATGGTGTTTCTAAGTACCTTGTAAAGTAACAATGTGGGTGATTGAGAAGTCTGAGCAGAGGTACACCTGTTTTTGAAATGCCTTCTTGAAAGGATTTGGGCATGTCGTTAAAGCATGATATATGTGACAGTCACCGGTGGTCAGGATGACACAGAAGACACCAAATAGCTCATACCTGTACCCCCTGCCAAGACACTTTCCAAACAACTGTCTACTTCTACTGATGGATGGCGGCCCGCCTGACCTCCCTTTGGCAATTTCGGCGATACATTTCTGCCGTACCAAGAGAAGTCATCATCTTCTTAACCTCAGTGAAAGGTCATACTTGGGTCACCAAAGCTCCCATCAGATAACACTGACATCATATGCATATTACTTCAGAATGCTTTGTTGTGCTTCAAAGTAATTGTCAAATCTTTGGAACAATTTTCAACCTGATGCCTCTAATTGAAGCAGGCCGACTGGCATTATGATCATTTAACTGCCTCAACTAGTTAGAACCAGAGGCATAAGATTACCCCAGACTAAGTATAATAGCGGTCATTCAATATACAGCTAACCATACCAATACCTCATGTTATGTTGGCAGTCCTATGTTCTGGTGCCCTATGTATGATGTTCCAACACAGGGTTGATTTAAGGTTGTCAGAGCATGAGTTGAGTTGTCGGAACAGATACACCTGGTTTGGGTAACAAATGATAACATCTACCTTATCAACATCTCCCATCACAACAGGCGTTAGAATGCTGGGACTGGTGTAGTTAACATTGCTGACATTGCTGAACTTCTTAGATCTCATCTATTAGATAGGGTAGATTTGGTAAGTTTTGTGTCAGCCTGGAGAAGGTGCAAAACATGCTTTGTTTACAAGAAGGAAATTCATTTTTGATACTAGTAGATCTTCTCCAGATGGATAGAAAAATAGCTAGAAGGCACATTACATCACTCACTATCCCGTTTTTTTAATCACTTTGGAACTGTCTTGAATTCTTAACAAAAACATGAGAGATAAAATCTTACATACATTCTACTATACCAGTTGAAACCTTTTGAGCATTTATGCATGACATGTACACACAAAATATCAGGCAGGTGGTACCTTGTACATGCACAAGTGTGCCAGCCGCCACCTGCCACAGACCACCACCTGTGACTGATCAACAGGTACACAACAGTTCAACTGGGGACAAGGCAAGGAGGAGACTCACTCACTCACTCTCACTATCCGGTTTATCGTCTGTTGTTCCCAGTGTTCCGAGGGTTAGACGCGCTTGCACTCTGATGGCAGCCCGCCACTTGCCTCTGTCCTGTGGATTGACTGGCAACATAACTTTAGCCAACTTAAGTCAAAATTGATCTACTAAAAGTACAGGTACATTTGTGTAAGTCTTACTGAGACATACTGGCCTCCAGGATGGGCGTCGAAACAGACAAAAACATCCAGTAAGCTTCCGGAAATACCTTTACAGTAAGACAGCTTTTGGTTGGGTGAAGTACAAAACTATGAGGTATTAGATGTCATTTGTACATGACTTACATTGATAGCAGTCTTCAGATCTAAACAGATTTAGATGGGTTAGTGAGATCATCCATTGAGAAGTACAATGGGAGTTCTTTTTGTAAACTACAATGGGAATAATCATAGTACTGTGATAGTAGAACACCTTTAGGGTCTCGCCTTAAAATGCCAAGCACTGACATTGTTGTGCAAAGTTTTTTTGCTAACCTGAGTCCTCTGTAGTTGAACAAAAATAAAAAAAACCTTGGTTACGACAATGCCATAATCTAGTGTACTATGTGTTGCTGACAACAGATCAGCACTAAGCAAAACAGTTAAATCTCTCAGACTTAGACTATTACATGTCACTGCACGTCTGCACTTTAGTACCAAGACTTGAAAAAGTGCAGATTGACATTTTACAACTCAGGGACTGTGTAGGGCTCTTTACCCTCTGTTTACCACAAGCCACTCAAAAAAAACATGCAAACTTTTGCAGTTGCTCACATACTGGTAATAGTGATACATTATGTCTGGAAAAAAGATACTCAAATCCATATAATAGTTATAATATGCAGAAAATAAATAAGATGGATTAGAATGTTCAAAACCACTGACCTCCCCCTGTCTTCCTACTCTTGCTCTTGTCCCCGAATGACCCGGTAGGTTGTTTACAAGTTCTTAAAACTGACAGTACATTAGGATTGTGCTATCTCCCATTGATCAATGTTCATAAATTATGATTTCCATTGTGTATGTCCCTGGATGACCCTCAGGATGGAGCCAGTGAGGTTACTGACTCAGTAAGGCACTATGGGACAATAGGGGATGCCCTTCATGCTTTATCTTATGTGAATAATGTCTATTTTCTTAATCATATGTTCGTGCCT